GCTGGAAGCGGCACGTATAAATGATGAGGTTGGTTTTAGTTGTTAAAAGATAACAGATTCGAGCTTGTATCGGTATTTCGACGTTTTGCTCCGTCTTGCATCGATGCAGCAGCTGGCAGCTTTTCCTCTCTTCTTGACTTTAAGGCTATCATATTCATGTAATGCTGTGTACTTGTATAACATCAAAAAAGAATAATTGGCCAACGCACGGGTTGCACGTGCGAAGATGCGTTTTTTGCATAGTTCTCCGCAGTTTTTGTTGCTGCCGGCACCGGCTTTTTCGGCAAATGCTTCTAGCTAAACAAATTAAGACTGGCCGCAAGAGCTGTCAGAAAGCACCCCCTTAAAATTTCAGCATTCTAGCTTCCCTGGCTTCTGAGTTAGCAACTTACTGGAAAAAAATTTTTGTGAGCCCGTGCGTGTTTGCCACGCATACCCGAGAGTTGGGTTTAAACTGAATGAAACTTAGGTGGACGGGATATATCTTCCTAAAATTACAGTCCTTCAGCTTCTCAGGTGCTCGAGTTATCAACTTACCCGGAAGAAATTTTGGCGGTCCAGTATGCGAGTACCACTTATTCGGGGGCTGGGTTTGAGCTCACTAATTTGGACGGGGAACATCACCCTAAGATTTTAGCTTTCTGGCTTCTCAGATCTCCGAGTTATGAACTTACCTGAAAAAAATTTTGGCGGGCTCGTACGCGAGTACCACGCTTACCCGCGGGCTGGGTTTCAGCTTATTGAACCTACTTGGATGGGGAACATCCCCTTAGAATTTCAGCCTTCTAGCTCTTCTGGTTCGCGAGTTATCAACTTACTCGAGAAAAATGTTGGCGGGCTCTTACGTGGGTACCACGCGGGTAAGACCGCCCATTTCGGGATGAGGGCCCGTACGTGCATGTAGATTATGTCCCCAAAGTTTTAGCCCTGTAGCTTTTGCCGGTCTCGAGATAAAAAATCGGTACAGACAAACACACAGACACACATACACACAGACAGCCTCTCGTTTTCTACATTGCATAGCTGCAAAAAATGCACAAAGATTGGAGTAATACGGTGCGTTTTCATTTAAAGCATTTACATAAATTCTTGTCTTTGCTTTCCTCGAGATCAGCAGTTCCATTGAAGCTGGTTTTAGATTCGTCCGAAGGTAAAATTGGAGAAGGGAGGAGTGCTGGAGCCTACGTTTGACGAATTTTACCAGCATTTTGCCCATTGTTAGCAAATGTTAATAACTTGGCTTGCTAACAAAACAGAATATTCAGGAGACGCACAGCCACAGCCTAATTTGTGCATTTCCTTTCTTTTTTTGTAATTCATTTCAATGGGAATTGTCTGAAGCCCCAGAAAGCTGGCTGATCGTATTTGAGGATTGTATTGTGTGTTCGTTCGAATTATATGTAAAAGAAAAATTTGGGCTAACAAGCATAAAATCGTATTCTAACAATTTTCTGGTACATCTTCGATCTTTAGAAATATTCATACGCTTTCACTTCTTTTTTTTTCAGATTTTCAAAACATTTTTCAATGGTCGTTATGTGATCTTTCTGATGGGTTGCTTCTCGGTATACACCGGCATTATCTATAACGATGCATTCAGCAAATCGTTCAATCTGTTCGGTAGCTCTTGGCGCAACATCTATTCTGATTTGAGTAAATTTCAGCCCGAGCAGCAGCTCATGCTTACACCAGAATGGGCCTATTATAATGTGGTTCGTTGTTGGTGTCTTTTTTCCCTTCAGTTTAAGTTGTTTTTTTTTTTCTACTGGCTCACTGGATATGACGTCAAAATCTGAGATTTAGCATCTATAGAAGAGCAGTATCACAGCAGAGCTGACCGTTGTGTTTATAAATTCCAGTAAAAATTTAGAATTTGTTGAACTGCTTTTTGTTGACTTGTTCGACCGCGAAGTTGTGAGGTTTAAGAAAAAGCAGTGATTTAAGAAAAATAAATAGCAACGCGCACCAGACTAGCCGGTGCGATCATGCGTTTTTCGCAATCCAGCCCATCGAACGATTGCCTATTGATGATTTTCACTGCTTTGTACTTTAGTCTAGGCAAAAATAGCTCAAACATTAGAAAACAGTTAAA